GTTGTATAATTTGTAGTACATTATCTTTATTTCTTCTTTTATACAATATATAAGAAGTGACTAGTTGCAGCCCCTTGTGTTGGTTTGTCCATCTTTGACTACTTTGAGTTCCTGGTCTTGTATTGCTTTGTACCTGTGTGCAGCATGAGCAACATTATTATTGCAAAGGACATTTGTGAGGCAGCGTGGTGGAATCAGGCTCTCGTCAAAATAATCAAAATGAAGAAACTTGCATTTTTCTGCTGGTTTGTGAATTTTTATCAAATTTTTGGTTTTTGGCTCTTCATGCCCATTAAAGAACTCATTTCTGTGTGGATTTTTCTGAAAAACGTTGATTAAAGGTACAATAAATGTAAATTTTCAGTTGCCAAGGACTTTTAAGCTAAGGAAATAACTAATCTTTGTCTGCCATTTTCTCTCTAATTTTTACCTCTGAAAACAAGTGACCCCCACCTCCTTCATTTGCAAATATCTCGACTTGTATTCAAGATAAATGGATATTTTTTTTCATCCAAATAAAGACAAGTGAACAAGCTTTAAGATGATACCAATAACTCTACATGCCCAAAAATTGACGAGAGCCTGATTCCACCACGCTGCCTCACATTTATTTAACTCATCCTATTTTCCTATGTGGTAAAATCCAAAAAGTACTTCCTTAGACAAGATACAGCACTACTTGTACTTGTCATGCCTTGTCAGATGGAAAGTAAAGTAGTTTAAAACCTGTTGTCCATGAGGAGCTTCGATTCTTCCGTCTATCTGACAGTTTTTATAAATGAAATGATAATAATCAAATTCCTTTCATGATTTATTATAGACCTGAAAACTAAACAAAATATATATATTTGGTTAAAATGAGGTGGGGGGGGGGAGGCAATGAAATTGCAATTAATCTAAATTAGTAAGTTTCCTCCATTTTAGGATTAAGGATTCAGTCTGTCCATTTTGTTCTCTTCGCTCAAAGTTTTTGTGTGACAACTGACAAGAGCTGATAGACCTCCTCAAGGACGTGTGTCCATTGCTCCAGGCAGTCTTCAGAGTCACCTCATTCCTTGTGTAGTGTAGGCGATTATAGGCTAAAACAGCACCTAGACATGGATGGCTGGTGCCTCTATAAATAAATCATTGATGGTCTGGTAGTGTAGGAGGGTACTTAAGTCTGCTGCTCAGTAAATGGCAAGATTTGTACGATATTCATATTTCACAAGTTCCATGAAAAGGGATAAAACCCAGAATTAAGAGCCTCCATTTACAACTACTATTACAGAATGTTTGTATTACTGACATTTATACTACAGGAGCGTACGAAGGAAGGGTAGTGTGTGTTAATGATCACAATTTGAGTTTCTTAAGCAGCCGTTGATTCCTGAAAGATTTAGTTCTTTTAGTAGAGCAAATCCAAAAGTTGCTTTTTGTTACTGCCAAACTGGACTTGACATTTTAATTCTTTTTGTTGGAGTGTTTCATATTTTATCCTCGTTTTGACAATAAGTGTATGAACTTAGTACGGTAATCACCAGTTGTGTAAGAAGTCTAGAGATTTAGGCGTGTATTTTAATCTCATTTCACATTTTAATTTTTTTTTTTTCAATTGTAATTGATCACGGGTTTTTAAATGCCCCAGCAACAACCCCTACCCTGTCAAATTCCCCCCCCCTGAGTCTACTTGTATGCCCTGTCCGGTAATAAAATATTTGTATATTTATTCTGTGTTTTAGGAGTGTAACTGCATCCCTTAGTTGGAGTGGATACGTCCCATACCCGTGTCCTGCGATTTATGATGCATGTATTTATGGATTGTCAGTAAAGGAACACATAACGGCCATGTGATAACCATAACTGAAATAAATACTATGTTTATCGTACCAACATCTTCTATTGCATTCAAATTTCTTTATTGTCGGTTGTCTCAAAAATGTTTGTTTACATAACGTTAATAATAGTAATGATGATTATGGTGATGATTTTGCTGATTATAGATTTAATCATTATCATTATCATCATTTTCATTATTATTAGTAGCAGTATTATTATATCATTATCATTATCATCATTTTCATTATTATTAGTAGCAGTATTATTATATCATTATCATTATCATCATTTTCATTATTATTAGTAGCAGTATTATTATATCATTTTCATTATCATCATTTTCATTATTATTAGTAGCAGTATTATTATATCATTATCATTAATGTTATTATTAACCTATTACTTTTTTATCGCTTTCTTTTTTATGAGGGAAATTATTTTTCTTTGCTCGTTCCTTGTGTTCCAGATATTTCCGAGGAAGACATCTAAAGTTTGAACTCCTAATGGAGGTAAACATAATTATTTTGTTAAGTCTATCCGTACGCCCTGGGGTCATTTTGTACTCCCAGGATTGTATTCTTCACATTTTAAAATACTTCTAGTAGGAAGATCTCTTTGAAACTTTCAGTATTTCTCAAAAAATTGTTTTGACAGACTGCTATGCAAAGCGCACGAATTGGATTAACGAGTAAATTTCCTCTTTGGAAAGTGATGGCACAGAGTTCTCCACGTCGTATGGATATGATAGTAAAACATGACGTACAGATAGGATTAATACATCATTGTAATGGTCACGCTACTGGTCCTGCCACCTGATCAATAACATCATGGAAGGCAGCCTCTAGGGCCTAACATCACATAGGAATTGGATGAGGGTTTACTGAGGTAGATGTTTATACTATACCCCAATCAACACAATTTAGATAATTTAGGAGGCAGGCTACTTCAACCCTGCCTGTCAGGGTCAAGGCCTGAGAGGGATACAACGTTTCAGCTGACAGAGAGACCCAATGAGAAGCCTTCCCACATGGGAATTAAACTCACATTTTCTGCATGCCACAGCGAAGCACCAATCCGCTACACCACAGAAAGTTTAGCAGTTTGATCCTTGATCCGACACATATCTCATCACTGATAATAACAACACTAATAACAGCAATGCTGATAAATATAACAACAAAGCCAAAATAACAACGCCAATAACAACATCAATAACAACAAAGCCAATAACAACAACCAAGAGTTTTCTGCAACAACTTGAACAAAGAGACACGCAAAACGTGATTCATTGTTATATTTTACCTCATCATACATACATTTCCATATAAACAATGATGATATCCTTAATTAAGCAACACTCACTTTTTTTGTCGACGACTTATTTACAGTTACACACATGTATACATAAAACAGCTGTTAACTGTGAAACAGTTCATACAACAAATCTGCCACTGGCTACGAAAAAATACCCTCAACTTTTCTGACCCCATAGAAACATGCATGGTCAGTTTGTGGATCTTGTTGTCTAATACATCTTGAATCAAGACTTTGCTATGATCTGCATGAAGTTGTTACACAAAATCCAGACAATTCCTGAACTCTGGATTTCTGGATTTATCCAGAAAATCGGCACCTCAAAAGAATGTACACAACATCACATGAAACTACCTGCTGTGTTGGGTATTTACTATCATGTACCTGTTTTGAAAATATTTTTGGTCCCTAGCTCCAGTCTGAGTTTACAGCTGTATGAAGAGTAGCAGTTAAGCTCCTCACCTTGCACTCAGAAGACAACAGTTCAATTCCCATTTGGGTAAGTTATATTTTATGAATGATCTCCACCTCTCACAACAAGTTGGATTTGGATTCCACTCAGCTAAGGTTGGGCCTGTTCTGTAGGTTAGAATCAGAAGCAACCAGCTCTTAACTAATAGTACATGTTCTACACCCCCCCCCCCCCCCCTTCCTCCCTCTCTCCAAAACAAAAATTGACAAAGTTAAGAATATTTAGGAGACAGGCTGTTTCAACCTGACTGTTGGAGACCATCCTGGTCAAAGATACACGGCATTCCCGCCGGGAAAGACGGAGATATTCTGTAATATGGACTTCCCCATGCACTGAACTCACGTCTTTTACCAGCAATGGTGAAGAGTCTACTCCCGTAAGTTGTCAAAACAACTTTTTTTCTTCAGAGCAGTTTCAAGAAAAAAGGGCCAGTCTGAAATTTGAATTCTAATTTATTAAAAAACTAGGGACAGTTTCAATTTGATTTTTTCATTAAAGTAGGGTAACTGATCAGGCTTTCGATTTAGCAAATAAAAAATGTTGGCACCACAATGAAAAAAAGACGTCTGTCAGCTCAGGGCAGTCTAGTTTACCAATTACACCACAAATACCAGTACCCCGCCCCTAAATGATCTAAGCTGAGTCAATGGGTTGTAGAGCAGGGGGAGGGGAGGGAGGGAGGATCTACAATCAATCCCCTTTCCTTTATCGCCCACGGAGATCATGAAGGAAAATTTGACAACCGGCCATAAAATCCACCTTTAAAAAATTACTCTGATTACTTCATCAAACAGTACTACTAGTACTTTTTTTCAAGCGGCAACATACACTCAATGTAAACATATCATCAGGTGGCTCTTCATCATGTCCTTCACTCAACTGACAAAAGAAATATATTTTACACATCACAGGTCTCAATAATACTTATCTCAAAGTCAAAGCAACAAAGAAGGGTAAACAATTCCTCTCATGGGACAAGAGAGCGCCAAAACATTGACACACCATATAGTAGGATAAAAGAAAACATCTGATTTTAAAAACAATAAACAAGATTGCTCAATTATTCAGCTATAAAAATAACTGAATTTTATGACACACTGTACAAAACTGAATCTGCTCTTAGTTAAAATTTCGCTGTCATAAAACGGCTGAAAAAGGTAGTCCCCCATCATGCTGATGATTCTGAACTTTAGTTTTAAAAAGTGCAGAAAGTTCAAGGTTCCAGCCTATGGGGAATAAAAAAATAGGTCATCTGAACTGAAATATTCTTTTTTCTTCACCTGATATGGTGTGAGGATGTGAGGGGAGAGCAGCTATGTTTCAATGTAAGTCTTGTACAATATTAAATTCAAACAAAATCCAACTAGAAATAATAATGGTCAATAAACATGCAAGATTATTTTTTAAGCACGTGGTGACGATTGCAACATATTTCCTGATGAGGATCACCAGCTCCGCATGATTTTCATTCCAACCACATGGCAACACAATAAAAACCCTAAAATGCATCACATAAGGGAAATAAAGTTTTTGTTCAATGTAAAAACTGTTTTAATTTCTTCCTGAATTCTAATGTTATATCACTGCAGCGATCAAATCCATCGTCTTGAGGAGTTGAAGATGAACGACTGCTTGCCCACATTCACAGGACGGTAATGAGCTGCAACACAGGACGAACACATGTGAGAGCAAGAAATTTGTCTGAGATAATAAATGAAAGGAACTTTGGCAGTTGAGATCACATTGCTCATACTTGATCAAAAAGTTTACACTGTTGAGTTGTTCAAAGTATGCTGCTGCTACAAAGGCTGACAATTGACGAAGGTGGAAAATTTTAAATAAGTAGACTAGTAGTAGTTTCTCATGTTACTGTTTTGTTTAAAGTTTCAAGTATTGTAAAAGTAGTATGAATAAAGATCATTACTAAAAAACTAGGCTAACATTGGGTTCCATTTACAAAGCTCATTTTCACTGGGAGAAGAACGGTTTACCAATTCAGTAAAACTTTACAAAAGGGAGAAACTGACCTGGCCCCGGCATTTCTCCACTGGTGGGCTGCACAGCCCAGCGGCCTGTGGTGGAGACAAAAGCCGAGCTAGACATGTAGTGCTTGGGCGCGTCTTCAAAGTTCCGAACCTCGTATGCTCCGGGACCAGGTGCAGGAGGTGTCATGGGCAGAGGCATTGCAGGAGCAGAGATGCACAGGTAGTGTTTACGTCTGTCGAGGAGAGTAGAAAGATACGCAAAATCAGAACGTAAACTGCCACAATATTTCGCAAATAAAAAAAAAAAATCTAGGCAAAAATCACGCTGAAAAAAAGGTAGGAACAGACTACACCAGAGCATCTACAAGCCTCCCGTGTATGTCTCTGTTGAAGAAACTAAATTCAGTTTCTCATTCTAACATGCCCATACAAAACAACACCGATGACCGCAAAAATCTGCTTTAGCACTTTGAGGTCACTTGGCTCAATAATGCACTGGTGAAAATTATCCATTCCGGTCACCTGGCGCCCAAGAAGTTGGTTGCAGTCACTCTCCTGGCTGGGTGCCAGATGGGGTATTTTGTACTGCTGGCTGCGTGACTGCAAAAGAGTTGACAAATATCCAATAAAAGAGAATCCCACATTAGCAACATGATCAGAGCAAGTGCTGCATGGCACAGAGAAAAACCTTTTGACTGCTTGAGGAACCTTTGATGGACGGCTACATTTGTAGGGATGTCTGAAATAGTCAAGTGAAGAGCAAAGAAGAAGAAGAAGTTTGTAGTTTCTTTTTATTTGTTTGTCTACAAGAGTGTTTGTCTTTGAGTGTGTGTGTGTGTGTGTGTGTGTGTGCGCGCGCATGTGTGTGTGTGTGTGTGTGTGTGTGTGAGTGCAGGTGTGTGTGTGTGTGAGTGCAGGTGTGTGTGTGTGTGAGTGAGTGAGTGCAGATGTGTGTGCATGCATGTGCACGAAAGATAAGTATAACATCTATACACGTTTATGTGAGAAAATGAGTGCACAAACAACACAACACGCACTGATGAAGAGGCTTTAAACATCAACATGAAAATCTTACGGGAATATCAGCTTAGCCGGCTGCTCCACCGGGGCATTTGGATCATACGCTCCTGGCCCAGGAATCTGAGGAATATAGTCAGAGGAACTCAACTATAGCCATATAAGCCATTCTCACACTATATTTCTTCAGTCTCACCGTCGAGAATACACATGCATGTACCAGAAAAAGTAACAGTTCATCGTTACGAAAAGTATGTATTTGTTAATAAGTCAAGCTTCAGTTCTTTTTTTGAAAAAATGTGAATATTAGTATTAGGGGCACTCCTTATTATAGGAGTTCGTTCCATTCATGGGAACCAAAAAAAGGAGGAGGAGAAGGAGGAGGGGAGGAGGGGGGGAGGGAGAGGAGGAGGAGGAGGGGAAGAAGAAGAAAAGGAAGAAGAAGAATTATAGCAATGACAATAACAGACTGTAGTTGTTCAATTTGGAATACTAGAAAGTAGGCTGAATGTGCTTTTTTACACTTTGCTACTTTCCTGACAGACCCTACTATAACATTCCAGGAAAGCATTCAGAGCAAGCTGCCACTTTACAGGTACCCAAATACTAACAAGATACTGACAAGAAGATATCCACTCTCACCTGAAAGAAGTGAGGACAATTTATGAGCAGTGACTTCTCCACGGACACAAGGTCAGGCCCACACCAGGATTCAGCACGTGAAGAATAATTGTAATTGCAAATTTCTACTTCCCCCACCCCAATCGACACAGTTTAGATCATTTGGGTGGCGGGCTGCCCCAGCCCTGACCATCAAGGTCAACCAAGACTGGGAGGGATACAAGGTCCCAGCAGACAGACAGAGATACTCTATAAGATTTTGAAAACCTCCTCAAACTGGAATCAAATTAACATTCTCTGCATAGGATTTAACATGAGGTAAAATTATACAGAAGGCATATAGGTGAGAACGAAGTACAACTAACAAGAGGCGTTCTACAAATCACACACTGATGATGCGTTTAAGTGTTAACTGAAGGAAAAAAATTTAATTTTTATAAGGAAAAAGCTCAGAAATATGGGACAATTGCAAGTCTGACAGCATACAATGGAATGGAAATGGAACAAGACACAATAAAACAGTAGCCGAAGATACTACAACTTTCGGGGGGGGGGGGGGAATAAAAAATATGAAAGAAAAAGAAAACTTTAGGGTTAAACAGTTTCTATTCAATACCAAAAAAATGCTTACAGCATCAGCATCAGGCTGCATTTGTCGTTTAGAGGTGGACTTGAAACTGGAGAAGGGCACTTTTGTGCTCTGATGTAGGGGATCATCATTGATTTCGTAGTGGCCTGAAATTTTAAAATGAAATATAAAAGTATTTATATAAAGACTTTTTTTTTAACCAAAGCACCCATTGTAAGGCTATGGCATGAGTAACTGTTTATTTGATAAGGCTGTGTAACCCACAGTTTGCCCATAATTTCTTTTAACTCTTTAGGTACAAAGCGGACATATCTAGCCAAACTTTTGCATCCATCACAAAACGACGATTGGCGATGTTTACCACCCAGTTTCTTTGGACTTCCTTCAAAATGCTTGTGATGGCAAGGGTTTTACTCTATGAGCCTTGTGATGGCAAAGTGTTACGGACGTAGCGGACACATATATGTCCGACAGCAGCAGCTAAAAAGGCATGGGACATTTTACTGGAGCATGACACAGAAACTAGAGAACCCCAGTAACAATAATTTACAATACAACGAGCTTCACAGTCTGAGCACATCATGGAAGTCACTAACCTGGAGCAGGATTTCTTTTTTGTTCAGATAAATTCATCAGCTCTCGCTTTGACGTTGATTTAAATGCAGCGTTGGCGGTGACATTATTTGCCTTTCCACTCTTGTACTTCAGAACCTGTTAAAACCAAACAATCTTTGATAAATTTACTTCGAAAACTACAAATTACTGCCTCAAGAGCAATGAAAAACAGATCCATCCAACACTAAACAATTTGTTCCATGACAAAAAATATGAGATCTCCACGGTGCAAAACAATCACTTCGAATCGAGTGAAACACCTCTATACCCATAACATCTCTCTCTCTCTCTCTCTCTTCTGGCGCTGTGGCTTCATAAACGGTCAGCAATGCGGACAGCACGCAGGAACTCAACACTCGCCCGGGGGTCCTTGAAAAGTGCTGAAAGTGGGTTACTGAAATGTCCCAGCAGTACCCTTAACATAAAAGCGAATACACATTTCAAAAAAAGAAACCATCATTTTTTTAAAGTTACAGTCGAACGTGCTGTAATGGCTGTTCAAGACAATAACCTGAACAAACCACTACTTCCCAACTCCCCCCCCCCCCCTCCTCTCATATCCCCTCCCCCTGCGGTTTTTTGTATATGTGTCACAATGCAGTGGAATCGGGCGCTCGTAGATTTTTTGTCATTTAGAGTTATAGGCATCATCTTAAAGAATGTTCATTTGCCTTGCTTTAGGGGAGGAAAATATCCATCTATCTTGAATAGAAGTCGAGATATCCGCGACTGAAGGAGGTGTGGATCACCAAGTGTCAGAGGTAAAATTAGAAAGAAAACGGTCGTCAAAGATCGGTGAATTCCAAAGCTTGGGGGTCCTTGGAAACTGTAAATGTGAGGCAGCATGGTGGAATCGGGCTCTCGTCAAAATAATCAAAGTGAAGAAACTTGCATTTTTCAGCAGGTTTGTGAGTTTTTAGCAAATTTTTGTTTTTTCACTCAACACCTTTCATGCTCATTAAAAAACTCATTTCTGTGTGGATTTTTCTTAAAAACGTTGATTAAAAGCTCAAAAAATGTAAATTTTCAGTTACCACGGACTCTTTAGCTAAGGAAATAACTAATCTTTCTCACTAATTTTATCCCTGAAAACATGTGACCCCACCTCCTTCTTTCACAAATATCTCGACTTGTATTCAAGATAAATGGATATTTTTTCTTCCAAATAAAGACAAGTGAACAAGCTTTAAAATAAAACCTATAACTTTACATGCCCAAAAATTGACGAGAGCCTGATTCCACCACGCTGCCTCACAAATGTTCATTATTTTCCACTTTTAACAACCGTTTTTCAGTACAATTCACATATACATAAATGTATTTTTTAATGGACATGAGAGGTGTTAAGCCAAAAAAATTATAATGATTTTTTTTTAAATTGTCCAATGAGCCGAAAAATGCCTGTTTCTCTGATTTCATTATTTCAACGAGAGCCTGCTTTCACCACCATGCCTCACATATTCTAACACAGTCAAGGAAATCCACTTAAGACAACCATATTTTTCTCCTTGACAATGTGTGGCCATTAATTAAGATGAACTTAATTTTTCTGATCAATAAAGAAAAAGGAGTGATTAAAAAAAGTGAAAAATTAAGTTTTGAAGAAACAAATATATCAAACCTCATATGAGTTGGGGGCTGGAACTTCATTTATTTTTTCTCTCGCTTCAGCTATGGGCATCTGGAACAGTCTCTCCACCTGACATTTGTTGAAGTCTTTGCGTGTGCTGAGGAGACTGGGCAAAGCATATGACCCAGGCCCAGGCCCCGCTGAAGAGAAATACCGACCTTGTCTCTTTGACTAGAAGAAAACATAAAATGATTATAATAATAGTCAAAAATACATGAACTTGTCAAGTGTTTCAAAACACTCTTCCGAACATTACAGCAACTGCAGCAAACCCGCACTTATCACTACATGGCATTGGACAGAAGGGCAAGAGCCCAGATGTTGCTGGATCAGTAACAACAACAACAACAACAAGTATTTCAAAACCAAAATGTACAAAAACTTTAATTCTTAAATTCAATCAAAAGAAAGTGAGTGCTCAAGTGGTACAGTCTCCATATCAAAATTTTCATATCAAGAGAAACTATAAAATATTAGTCTGCTTCTGCTTCAATTACCCAAAACATCATGACGAAAGAAAAGAGAATACATTCAAACAGTAAACTTTTTATTTTGAAAATACTACATAATATACAAAAACAAACCCTGATCTTCACATTTATCAAACTTACTTTCGAAGCAAAGGAACCTGTGCCCTTTTTGGAGTAGGATGGGCTGATTTTATCAACCTTTGGAATGTCACCATAGCAACCTGGTGGTGGAGCTTCTGTCTGAAAAATGGAAATATGCAGCGGGTAGAAGGCCTATATTTGTCTTTGCTCTTTATCATCCTTCACAACAAGCTAAGACAACAATGAAGATAAAAATCTACCCGAAGTGTACAAGTAATTAGCCTTTGTGGCAGTCAAATGCTGTTTTCAGAGATACTTTCAAATGTGAGACACCCTGGTCAAAAAATGGAAGATACCAGCATTTTCTAGACAGCTTTGCAATTTTTTTTATTTTGGGGGGGCTCAACACCTTTTATCTCCTTTTAAAAATACATTTCTGTGTGGATTTTTCTGAAAAATATTCATTGAAAGCACAAAAAATGTTAATTTTCAGTTTCCTGGGACTCTCAGGTTACGCAGGTTACCAAACTTTAGCGGCCATCATTTCCTCGCTAATTTTACCTCGGAAATCAGGCGACCCCCACCTCGTTCAATTGCAAATATCTCAACTTCTATTCCATAAGATTGGTATTTTTTTCATTGAAAACAAGACAAATGAACAAGCTTTAAGATGATACCAATCATTCAACATGCTCAAAATTTGACAAGCGCCTGATTCCACCCGTTGCGACACAATTATGAAAACTGTTCAAATCTGGATTCATTCAAAATATAACCTGAGATTACTTTAAATTTCACCCGCACTGGTAGCAAGCAGGCCAACTTTACTTCAACTTCCCACTGCTAATTGCATACAAGAGCTCACATTTTTGCATCCTTATCAGAGAAGAATATGTACTCTATCCAATCTAACCTTGGTTCTGGGCCGTGAAAATGAAAAATCAAGGAAAAAAACTCAGGCCAACAAAAATTTAGGATCCATTTCCTGACTTTTTCATGAAAATCAAACACTGTGGCTGACATGATACTGAAAATAAGGAAGCTCACTTCAACCCATACTATACACGATATATGGAAAAACAGGATAATATTCTGAGTCCCAAAAATTCTTTTGAAACTTTAGTTTCGTCAACCATGGCAGATGTTTTGATAGTTCAGTTGGTGTCATGATCAACAACCACACCATTACCCTGGTTTGAATAATCAATTGGCCATTCTTAAACTCAGGTCGTTTTCAAGCCTTTCCATCCCTCTGGCTGCTTTTTCTTATGATGGATGTTAAATCTGGAGCTCTACCCTCTCAAATAACATTTTAGCATAGAAAAGGCCATCAGACTCATACCATACCATAACAATGGTCAATTTTCTCCATACAAAAAAACATTCTTTTGTTCAGGATATATTTCTACCTAAATAAAGTGATCCTTGTCTTTGATCTGACCAAAAACATAAGCATAATATTTTTTAACATCTCTCCTCTAAAAAAACATAAAATGAGACCATAACATCATTGCATCATTATAGAATGTGTCTTTATTCTATATAGACCCTTGAAAAATTAGAAAGCATAATAAAAAATTCATGTTGTAAATACTCTAAGTTTCTTTCTGACTGGTGCTAATAACTGAAATTGTTCTATATCGCTTCCTTGGTCTCCCAATCAGCCTTCAAAATCTGATACTCGTATGATTTCCCACTCTTGAAGGCTTTTCAAGCTTTCTTTATAATTTTGTAATCCTAAGAAAACATGACAGCGACAAAGTCTTCCCCTTCCCCCAACCTCCCCCAAAAAAAAGAAAAATTGCATTATTGAAGCATATTGTATATCATCCATACATATCTCCATAAGAGGATAATGCTAAAGTGAGATTTCTGACACCCCATCGTTGATATTACCATCTCATTAAAAAATGAATTACTGTTCTGCAGCATTACTCACAATGAAAGCATCCTCTTTGAAACGCTTTGCTCTGGCAAGAAATCCCTTTTTATCACTGTTATCTGTGACAATTGTCTGAAACTTTGTTGGGATAGATGCGTTCGCTGCAACAATGCTGTGACCTGCAAAACAAATGGATTGTATTCAACAACTGAAACAAAGGTAGGCCTTTATATATATATATTTATATATATATATATATATATATGTGTGTGTGTGTGTGTGCGTGTTGCTTCAAAGAAAATTAATTAAGGGAACATATATTCTATAATGTGGTACGATAAATCAACAGATATCTGATTATGATTTAAGTTGTATGTACAGGTACGAGTATGTACCAGCAAGCTAACCTCAACAAGCAGTCGTTTCTTTACTCATTTTATTGAGATTTGTGTTGCTTTTCTTCTAATTTGTATCAATTGAAGTTATCAAACACTGTGGTAAACATTAATTAGATCTCTTCAGTTCAAAATCATACAGCTTTTAAAGACAATCAAAACCATACTGGTCAACTCTGATGCTTTCAAATTAATTTTCATCCACTATACTTTTACAAATTATTCCATTGTGGTCTTGCATACGCTTGAGACCACTTTCCTTAACTCGAATATCAAGGCACTGACAAAAGAAAACGTAATAACTTAAAGCCAACAAATCAAAATTAGAAAGAAAAGGAAATGCATCCATACAAACAAACCTTAAATCTTCATTCAACAGAAATAAATAAAACGTAGCTGACTTTTCCATACCAATTTCAGGTCTGATACTATATGTTCCACCTAGACGATGAAATAACAATTCATTTAGCTCTGAGTCAATATGGGTGTGGACATGAGCAAATTTGCCAAATGAAGTAACTAAGCAACATGATGTGGCAAATTACATTGTATTTGTGACCCAAGTCATCGAGCTTCTCCCGTTACCAAATCAGCACACAATATCACTACTTCAAAATGTAACAAAAAGTAGGTGTTTATAACATACCTCACTTGAGAATCACTTGTCCAAAAACATTTTATAACAGGGACACTAGGCCTAAACTAATGGATTTTGTACTGTGCGATGCATTTTGTCAAATTAACCTTCTCTAAATGCGAGGGGCATATCAAAAGTTTTTTACCTGACCATGAAGGAACAAAGGTAGAAAGCTGAAATTTGGGGTGAAAGCAAACAATCATCTTCCTAGAATGCATATAAATTTTTGGGACTTTCCGATTACTGTTTTTAACACCAGCGCACTGTAAGTGAATGGGGGTATTTTACTCCAGTTTCAACATAAAAATGGAGAAAATTTAGCAAAGAGCAGTAACGAAGTTATCGTTCGTCCAAGGCAAGCAACTACAGGATATTTTTATGGAGATGCATACCATATATATGGAACTGATCGCCCCTTCCCATGCTGTGATAAAATTTTGATGTAAAGAATTCAAATACGGATTCACAGACATTGAAGATGACCAACGTGATGGTTGCCTAGGGATAGCAACAACAGAAAAGAATGTGTTGAAAAATTTTTTTTAATTGTGTTGTCTGATAGGCGAGTGACAGTCGAACAAGTGAGCAAAGAAACTAGGCTTAGCTTTGGATCGGTTGAACGAATCTTAAATGAACATTTGACTATGATCAAGGTTTCTGCGAGATGGGTTCCATGTTTGTTGACTCCTCCTCAAAAAATGCAACGTGTGGATTGTTGTCAAGAATTGCTTGGTCTGTATGAAAAGGATGAAACTAAATTTTTTGAAAGACTTGTAACCATGGATGATACATGGATCCACCACTACAATCCTGAGTCAAAATCTGCATCAACGCAGAGGAAATCGCCCTCGTCTCCAACACCATCAATTGGAAAAGTGATGCTATTAGTTTTTTGGGGATCAAGAAGGAGTAATTATGACAGACTATCTTGAAATGGACATACAATCATCGGAGACCATTATTCTAACGAACTAAAAAATTACGAAAGGCTATAAAAGAAAAACACAGGGGAAAGATCCAAAAAGGATTTTGCTGCTTCACGACAACGCGCCAGCACACACTTCAAGAAAAGCTGCAGAAACTGCGTGAGAAAGTGGCTATGAAATTTTGCCACATCCACCCTATTCTCCAGATTTAGCCCGTCCAACTTTTTTTATTCTCCAAACTGAAAAAGGATTTAAAAGGAAGGCATTTTGAAAGTGGTGATGAGGTCAAAGAAGCGGTAGAGGGCTGGTTTTCTGATAAAGAGAAGGTTTTATATTCTCAAGGTCTTTTCAGGGTCATACACCAATGACAAAAAAAGTATAACTGTGGGAGGCATAGAGAAAGATTAAGCTTAGTACCAAATTTCAGCTTTCTACCTTTATTCCTTCATGGTCAGGTAAAAAACTTGTTCACTTTGTCTCAACAATAAAAAGTTGAATTTGACAAAGATGTTCAGTGTGCACAGTGTAATACAAAAGCCCATTTTCTTTTAACCAGCTGGGAATGAATTAACATAAGTCTGCTCATTACTGTACATTACCTACTTCGACATCATTAACTCGTGGCCTTCACTGCCAGCAGGAATTTATATTGAACCATTGACCAACCTCAGCTTCCTGGACAAGCCAGGATTGTTTACTCTTAGCTAGTCATCAGTTTCAAAACAGGATAGCAAGACCAGTTTAAATTTAGTCAGTTCACACGACATATAGATATTTTCTCAGGAATCTGCATGGCTATATCAAGGCAAGCATAATTTGGACTCTGAGTTTAAGTCACAGAATAAACGTAATGAGACAGAACTAGGAGAGAGAGCACATCCTTGCCCTTTTGATGGGCGAGTTAGAGACAAGAGGGTTGTCAACTTGCAACTCGTTCATAGAAGTACTTGTTTACATCGTTTTCTACCAAAGATTGTTGTTTGCCAGACGTGAAACAATAAAAGCTACAATTAACAAATATAAATTAGACTCTCCTAATACTTCAAATTTCTTCTCGCATGTTTTTTTCTGATTGCCTATAATACATATACTGTTCAATGCAGTTTTCAGCCACAGATCATTTGATTGCTTCTGATGTGGGTTAATAAGCACTATCAAAGAGTTCTAAATTTGATTAAATTATTAAACCTGTTGACAAAATGCTTAGCTAACCCAATATAATGGCACTTTGACCACATTGGGGGGGGAGGGGGGTTATTCCATGCAGGCCTACATAGTTTTTCTTTCACCTTACTTATTCTACATGCAAGCTTATGTCCAACTACTGGAGTATCAGGGATAAAGTTAGTGACAAGGGCTCTATGTAGGTACCAGAAACTAAATTTTCAAACTAGCTGTATGCCAAATTTATCTGTTTCATTTGAAAGGCCTATACTGAGCATTTTGGTACCATTCTTTAACCTCTCCGTCAATTTTAAAGAAAATTGTAGTTGTTTAAAATTTGATCAAATTTGTTAAAGTCAGTCACTAGCTGCAACCCCATGTTTGACAGACAATAAAAAAAGTACCAAGAGCAGTAAACATCTCCACATTAACAGAGTACAATCACTATAACAAATATATGGAGCCTAATTTTTTTCAAGACTATGAGATCATTACAAATCAGTATTTTATCGCCTCAAACACGATGATTTGTCGTTATTTCGACAAAAAAACATAGAGCGTTGACCCGGCCGGCGCTGCACCAGCCCCCGCGCGAGAGAGTCGGCTCTATACTGTAGTGTACCACGGATGCGGGGTCACATGCTTTCTGAATCTCGCGGAAGGATCGATAAAAAATAATTCCAGGTTGATTACTTATTTTAATAGAAAATAAACTGATCTTTTAAATAATATTTTTTATAAGCCGGTATTTGACATATTTTGTGTAAAAAGTGGTCTTTAAACATTTTGACGGTATTTTTAAAAGCTTTCTATTTAGACGCCAAAGGCTAAACCTACATCACGGGAAAGCCCGTTTAAAGCTCTACAGTTCTTTGCCAATGAAAAGACGGTATTTAATCATCCCTCGTTCCGCGAAGCATTTGAATGCACGCGTGTCAATTTTTCCACCGGCCGACCACACATTCCGACCGCGAGGGGCTTCGCTTTCGTCGGCGATTCTCCAGCTCCTAAAAATCGGACATATAAACAACTTACACCATTGTAACGAGGAAAAGCTGAGCTTTTACAAGGTGTACGGCATTTGGTGTTTTATAGCAAAAGAGCAAAGAAACAGCGATCATAATTACCCCGATTTCACCGATACCACGCGGTCGGAAGGCCGCGAGTGCCTGCGAGGCCGTGTTTACGCTACCTACTCTATGAATTATATTGAACCATACACCCCACTACCAAATCCAATACCCTAGAGCCTGTAGCTCATATAATCATACCCCCACACGGAACGACTTCCGAAACGAGCGACCACCCCAAGAAACACAATATAATAGTTTAGACTTAACCGTAACCCTGACTCAACCCCTAACCTTAACCCCTACCCCAAATCCTAACCCTACCCCTCTATTCTACTGTTTCATAGTGGTTGCGCGTTGCAGAATCCCCTCCCCCCCCCCCCCCCCAACACACACACACAACACACACTGTCTTCAAATGCTGGGAGCAGGAAGGTCACTGACACAGCATGACATATGTCTATAATAGTTCTATAATAGACCTACAGTTCCAAATGCCATATAGATCTCCCAAGAAATAATTAATATGGGGCATTGGCCTAGAGAGAACTTTTATCTAAGTCTGTCAGTCTACTTAAGCCTATTGAGAAGCCCACAGACACTGTGACAAAACAAGGTAAAAAAAAAAAAAAGGAAGAGGCTAGCCGTACTTAATGACGGCTAGATTGGTTGGCGAGCCGTACTTAAGTACAGCTAGACAGCTGGGCTAACCGTACTTATTCTTAAATATGATGGCTAGACTGACCATGAAAAAAAAAGGTATTTTTTTACTTTCCCTCCCGTCTCACACTCAGCTACCAGTTGTCTATTTTCTACTAAATATTGATGCGCAGAACACGAATATCAACTTCATTTCCGTCGCAAATTAATAGTTTTCGAAATATTTGATTGTTTTTAACCGAGATAGACGTGCTTTGGACCAATCGGGGGGTACCAGGGGGGCCTGCCCCACTGGGGTAAAAGAAAATCTGGGGGGTTACAGGGGGGCATGCCCCCCTGTTTTTACCCATAATTTGATATTTTACAGTTAGATTTGAAATTGTCTTGAAAATAATTGATTTGCGACAGTTTTAGTGTCTTTATGTGTGATCTGCAGCAAACAGTACTGCAGTTTGACCCCTGAAACAGTGCATCTGTGTGCGGGAGTGAAAGTAAAAATTTACCCCAAAAAATAGGCCTACTGAATTGTAAATATAAATTTTTAGTTTGCTGTACCTAAAGTATTTGTATTTGAGACGAAATCAGGTGCCTTAAAGACAGTGCATGTATTTTAAACCTTCTGTTTTCTAATGTTAATAGGGCCTAAGACCTAAGATAAGTACCGCTAGACAAGCCCACTTCGAAAAAGAAACAAGATCTAGATCTAGATCTTTGTAATAATTGATGTGTCTCTATCCATTGCCTTCAATATTCAATCTAATAAAAACGGAAATTTATACAAAATTCGAGCTTCCTAAATCAGTTCAATACCTTTGTGTATGTGCCCAGATGATGCCCGGGCATGATAACGCTTGAAAGTGCGGTTATCGACAACTTTGACGCTGTCCGCCATAATTTTCGACCAAAATTGTATTTGGCTACAAGAGATGATCAACTGGGGAAGGCCCAGTGCCCAGGACCTATGATAATTATTTCAGTAACATTTGCTGTCCATATCTGCTCATGTTCGTAGTTATCATAAGTCCGATGGGAGGAATCAAAGAGATGTATTATCGTGTTATCAACTGGGTATCTTCCTTGAAACTTCCTTCCGTACCTCACTGTTGTTGCTTAGCTACCCAAGCAGCGGAAACGGAAATACGGTCTCACGGAATCAAATCAAAACATAACCTCTTTTAATTTAAATAAAAAACAAGTTTTTCTTATTCTTTTCTTTTTTCTTACAGGATTTAATTTATATGACTCAATTTCACTTGATATAATATGGTTCATTAAAGATTTATTTTTAAAATATCCAAACTAATTTTTGTAATCTGTAAATTATAAAGAATAATCCTAGGCTAGCACAGTCATAATGCTACGAGAACCCTGACATCCCCTTCAACAGAAAATGAGCATACCCCAAGCTTATCGGCTTTATTCTCTCTTTGGTCAAAGGCGGTAATGCCACATTGGCCTACTGAAGAGAAGTTTAATGCTGAATCAGCCAACTTTCAGCCTTTGTATTCTGCGTTTGAATTTTCATTGGAAATTGCTCACAAATTTACCTATATAATATATTATATAAGTATATATAAGGGCGATGACAAGGGCTCTCGCAGCGGTATTGAGGGATAAGGTCCCGGGAGTAGGTTGAGTTTACTGACGCACTGGTGAAATTAGAAATCTAGATTTTTTAATTTTTTGGGGGGTAATATAAATACATTGTACACATTATACATGTATCACGAAAGAATCGAAAGTGCCTGTCTAGTTGACGGTCAGCCGTTAATTTCTGTCAAATTGACAGTGCTCTACCTGCGCTGTAAGGCGGTTGGATGCAGTGGCGGTGGGTAGTGGAGGGCTCTAGGGCTTGAGCCCCCCCTCCCCCTTTCTTAATAAGTATCGAAATAAGCAGTTGAAACCGTTATGATAGCACGCAATGAATACAGGTTAATTAATTTGGCTGCATGCTCGTTTATCCAATCATTGTTGTCACCGCTTACAACTACATGTATAGTAACTTAACAGCCCATCAAATTTCTTTTGGGCTCAGCAAAGGATGAACCCATTCCCACGCCCCTTCCATAAAGAAACGCTTCTTGTAAAAAGGTAGAACATTGAAAAAACAACAACATTGTACTGAGGGCTCACGCTCTCCTAGCCCTGACAATGGGATGAAAGTTTACGAAACGCTTTCCCCCTGTGACACAGATACTTACACTCTCATTGGACCTCTGTTAGGTGCGTTTTACTTTCTGTGACTACTCGACGGCCTAATCCAGCTCATAGACGGAATAAGTTTGAAGTGCTGTGCGTATTTGTGTTTGTACCGCTGAGATTTAACAGTTATAAGTCACGTTGATTCCACTTTTAAAACAACTTTTTCATCAAAAAGAATTCAACTTAAAGAACACAGAGATGGAAGACAAAGGTAACTCTTCTTGTTTGAATGGTTCTCAAAATGCCGAGGCTCACCGTGACTATAGAGAAATCAGTACTGTTTATGTCTTATTGCTTGCTATTTGGTGGTAAAAAAAAAGTGGACGCAACAAAAGCCCCACTCAAATTTTGGTCCACCCACCGCCACTGATGGGATGGGCAGCAGCTATGTTTACTGTAACTGTAATACAGAATTTAAAGGCACCAAGCGTTATGGGTGCATTTACGTCCAAGGGGGTGGCGTTTACAGTTGCAGTGTATGGATGGGTGGATGGGTGGATTGCTTCATTTACGATGATAAAGATGACTGACAATATTTAGTAATTATTTGCAACAGCAAGTGATGAGACGGGACGATGAAGATGGGGAGGTATATCCCCTACACCCCATACATGTAGATTTTTATTGTGGACTTGAATGACAGTAATGTTAAGCCTGCGTAGCACAGAGGGGAAAATAACCAAATTATTAATGGCCTTTTCCAAGACCAACCTTTTTTTGTTTTGGAAGAGAACAATTGCAGGCCAAAGACTAGGCTAAATATAAACTGGTATGCCGCCACGTACAACAGAAACATCATGGTAGACCGTCAAGAAGATCGGTTCGGATATTAAGGGGCCCATACACGTTAAAAAGAGTCATAATTTTGATTTAAAATTTGACTGTGTGTGAGGCGTTTTGGTGTCAAAAAAAGGTTTGAATCAAATTTTTGATGGATCGAACCCGCTTGATATTTTTTGACGAGTCATCAAATTTTTTATGCATGTGTGGGCTCTTGTAAAAATGTTGATCAAACTTTTGCATTTCACAGCTGACCGCCGAGGAGACAGGATCGCCATGTCTGTCGTGAAGAAGGAGGCCGAAAATTGAAGATTTTGATTCAAGCTTTAGGTGTGTACCAGACATTGTCAGCCTTGTGGAGAATTAGGTCGGATGATTACAGCAATCGTGCTAAGAAAGCCGAGGCCTACGGCATTCAACTGCAGAAATATCGTCAGCATTTCCCTTCTGGAACATTAGAAGATCTGGGGGAACAAATCTAAATAATCTGCGAACAAATTTTCGCAATGGACAAAAGTGCCGAATCAGGTTGGGGGGGAGGGGGGCGAGCTGACAGAAAATGTAGTGTGCAGGCTCAGTTAACTATGGGCGCAGACTAGTTTCAACTTCAGTCTTTTATCTGAATCAAGAAATAGAGGGGGGGGGAGACAAAGAGAGAGATTGGAGAGAGAGAGAGAGAGAGAGAGAGAGAGAGAGAGAGAGAGAGAGAGAGAGAGAGAGGGGGGGGGGGGGGGGAGTAGGGTGGAGGATTCAAACACTACGGCATGGCCACTGATGTTTCCCTGACGAAGATTTCGGTAATACTGAATTTTGATGAAAAAAATCCACTCACACACGCACCCAAAAACGTGTGTGGGCAATTGTGCATAAAAATTTTGTCTCAAAATTTCGCATTAAAAAATGACGCTTTTTTAAAACGTGTATTGGCCCCTTTACATTCTTTTAGCAACAGAAATCGCCCCTGTACCGTACCTTGTACCGTGAGCATGAGAAAAACAGTATTTGAATTATGCTCACTATTCACTATGCTCGTGCCACTGCGTGCCCATTGCCCAGTGTTGACTAAAATTCTGAAACAGAAAAGAAGTTGAAGTCTGAGTTTCAGGTTAAAAACTACAGTGCGTTGTCGGCCAAGGAACACAAAACGAACACCGAGGCAGCAATAGCCTGTGTATGCACTTTAAAAGCCTAGTTATCTCTATCTTAGAAAACCCCAGTCAGTTGCTATTAAGCTCGACTACGATCAGCGACTGGGCGTTCTTGAACTTGGGTCCTATTGTGGAGTTTTCAAGGCTATCAATCCATTTGTTTCAAACCTATCGGAGACGGATGTTAAATTCGGAGCTCCTGTCCCTTAAGTTGGTGGGGCTTTTACTTACTTTACTTCAGTTCTCTTCCTTAAAAATCTCGTGGTTCCCACAGTTATTGAATAATTTGGGCCTCGAACAATATAAAAGGGGGGGAAAAAACCCACAGCTGTAACGTTTGAACGAGATTCGAACGGAGAGAACTAGGTTTATTAGTACATTGCACTACACCCTGACAGAGGCAATGCGTATTATCTTTTGAATCCTTCAAAACGTGCAGACTTGCTCTCAGGTCTGTCTACACGTGACAGCCCAGCGTAGTATATTGGTAGGCTATTTAACCGAGGTACTAATTACATGTACATGCATCTTTCCACGTCGTTAACAACCTACTACACAAGAAAGCCGGGTGAATGGCAGTGCCCTGTGTGGTTTGCTCTTTATCCTATCAAACATCAATCGTCCTTACCGCACTTCCTTCTTTTTTGTGTAATTGTTACTCTCTTAACACCTCTAATCTTCGACGCTTATAATATGACCTCATTGAGTTGTAATAAATGTTGTTAAACTCTTACTAAAACTAAAACACAAGGCCTAGCAAGTGACTGTGGCGTCGGTGGCCTAGTGGTCAGGCTCTCAGACTCGCAACCGTAAGGTCGTGGGTTCGAATCCCGTCAGGGACCTGACGTTGTGTCCTTGGGAAAGGCACTTTACACGAATTTTCCTCACTTCACCCAGGTGGGAATGGGTATCCGGCTATAGACAGCGAAAGATCTTGTCAGTTTGTTAGTGTTTGAGCGCTTAATCAGCTGCTTGCACTGTATGCTTCCCGG